TAGCAGGATATAAAATCAATGTGCAGAAATCTGTGGCATTACTATATACCAGTAATGAAGCAACAGAAAAAGAAATCAAGGAATCGATCCCATTTTCAATTGCACCAAAAACAGTAAGACACCTAGGAATAAACCTAACTAAAGTGGTAAAAGATCTATACTTTGAAAACTATAGAACACTTATGAAAGAAATTGAAGAAGACCCAAACGGAAAGGCATTCCATGCTTCTGGATAGGAAGAACAAATATTGTTAAAATGTCAATACTACCCAAAGCAATCTACACATTTAATGCAATCCCTCTCATCATACCACCAGCATTCTTCACAGGGCTAGAACAAACAATCCTAAAATTTGTATGGAACCACAAAAGACCCTGAATAGACAAAGTAGTCCTGAAAAAGAAAAACAAAACTGAAGGCATCACGAGTCCAGACTTCAAGCTACGTTACGGAGCTAGTGATCAAGACAGTATGGTCCTGGCACAAAAACAGACACATGCATCAATGGAACAGAATAGAAAACCCAGAAATTGACCCACAACTATACGGTTAATTTATCTTCAACAAAGCAGGAAAGAATATCCAATGGAAAAAAGACAATCTCTTCAACAAATGGTGTTGGGAAAACCGGACAGCAACATGCAGAAAAATGAAACTGGACCACATTCTTGCACCATACACAAAAATAAATTCAAAACAGATGAAACACCTTAATTTAAGACAGGAAACCATCAAAATCCAGAGAACACAGGCAGGAACCTCTTTGACCTTGGTTGGAGCAACTTCTTACTAGGCACATTGCTGAAGATAAGGGAAACAAAAGCAAAAATGAACTACTGGGACCTCATCAAGATAAAAAGCTTCTGCACAGTGAAAGAAACAATCAACAAAACTAAAAGGCAGCCTATGGAGTGGGAGAAGATATTTGCCAATGACCTATCTGATAAAGGGTTAGTATCCAAAATCTATGAAGAACTTATCACACTTAACACCTCCAAAACAACCCAGTGAAGAAAGAGGCAGAAGACACGAATAGACACTTTTCCAAAGAAGACATCCAGATGGCTAACAGACACATGAAAAGATGCTCAATGCTACTCTTCATCAGGGAAATACAAATCAAAACGATTATGAGATACCACCTCACATCTCTCAGAATGGCTAGAATTAACAAGAAACAACAGGTGTTGGCAAGGATGCGGAGAAAGAGGATCTCTTTTGCATTGTTGGTGGCAATGCAAGCTGGCGCAGCCACTCTGGAAAATAGTATGGAGCTTCCTCAGAAAGCTAAAAATAGAACTACTCTATGAGCCAGCAATTACATTACTAGGTATTTACCCAAAGAATACAAAAATACTAATGCAAAGGGATATGTGCACCCTGATGCTTATACCAGCATTATTTACAATAGCCAAATTATGGAACAGCCCAAGTGTCCACTGACAGATGACTGGATAAAGAAGATGTGATGTGTACATATACAATGGAATATTATTCTGCCGTAAAAAGAAGGAAATCTTGCCATTTGCAACGATATGGATCGATCTAAAGAGTATAATTATAATGCTAAGCGAAATAGGTCAGAGAAAGACAAATACCAAATGATTTCACTCATATGTGGAATTTAAGAAACAAAAGAGATGTACGCATGGGAAGGGGGGAAAAGAGAAGAGAAGGGAACAAACCACAAGAGACTCTTAATGATAGAGAACAAACTATGGGTTGATGGAGGGAGGTGGGTGGGGGATGGGCTAGATGGATGGTGGGTACTAAGGAGGGCACTTGTGATTAGCATGGAGTGCTGTATGTAAGTGATGAATCACTGAATTGCACTGAAACCAATAGTGCACTCTATGTTAACTCAAATTTAAATTAAAAGCAAAAATAAAGATCACAATATGTGAAAATAAACTATTTCCTATGATCTCTGTACAGAGATAAGACACCTTGGTACAGTTTAACGGGGCCCTTCATCTCTTCATGTCTTCTTGACATGCCCTCTTGGAAAGCTTCCATGCTCGCTGTTTCAGGGTCTTCTTGTATATTGTTCCACCAAAGATCCCCTTTTCTTCTCGACTCCTATTACTTTTTACTTGGCCAATGTGTTAGGAGTTCTTCAGGACTCAGTTTAGAGACCTCAGAACTTAGGAAACCTCTCTCGCCTGACCATCCTCTCCAAGGTCAAGAAGGCCCACGCGTGGTTAACGATTATCACAGCACTTAACCTCACGGGGGTTCTATTTGCCTGCCTTTTTTCCACCCTAAGCTTCTTGAAGGCAGAGACTTCTCTTGTTCATCTTAGCATATCAGTATGTTGCAAGGAGATTTTCAAACGTATAAAATAGTAGCCCCCAAATAAAGTAAAGAAAAAAATTCTAATATTAGAGTGGGTTGCATCTTGTAAGGCAGAGCAGGCCGAGGGGAATATAGAGGGACTCTGGCTCTGGCTACTGATAACAAGTCTTTGAATTAAAATAGAATGGGGAACTAGATCAAAGACTATTGATTAATTCAACAAATGAATGTGTTCAGATAGGTATTTGGTATCATGCAGAAGTTATATTCAGTTGTGCACGATGATGCATATTTGATTTGTAATTAACAGAAAGTCCTGACCAATGTAATAAATATAACAATATTGGTGATACTCATTAGTTGCCAGGTTTGCTAAGCATTTCGTTGGTTATTTCTTTAAATTTCTTCTGTTTAATGTAAGTAAAACCATCATTAAATTATACACGAAAAAACCCCCAAAAAACAAATACCAAAGCTTCAGATGGGTTTCTGGCTAAAAACTTTATGAAATCAACATAGAGTTTGCTTTGACATGACATACTGTCATGACATACTGCTTCTCTATGTCATGCTTTCTGTGTCCCCAGGAGATAGCCATTGGAATAGTGGTTTCCTGGAATGCATTTAACTTTTGTTAGCAATGAGGCTACCAACAGAATGATTAATAATATTTGGTAGTAGTGTAGTCCTTTTTACCTTTCAGTGGACACCTACATATAATAATTTACAGGTACATTTTATAGGAAAAAATAAAATCATGTTGAGAGAAAGTAGAAAACGTTTGTTCCCCTTAAAACATACCTTAATACAAATTTGATTTTGATGAGTCCAAACTAAGATGGTGTAGTTAAGTGACTAGCTTTGAGGGCCCACAAATGCTCCCTCAAAGGGATGTCAATGGAGCAGTGAACCAGGAAAGTTGGGGTGCACTGCCTGAATTTCCAAGGGTGCCTCTTCCTTTTAACCTTTGATACTTACTTCAGAAGGGAAGAGATCTCCTTCACTGCTGTCTTCCCACCAGCCTTATTCTCATCAAGCAAACCTATTAGCAAGGCACACGGGCAAAGAACTATCTCCATGACTGCGTGGGGGGGACTGTGATGGCCCCAGGAGCAGTGTCTGGCTTCCCAGATTGAACCATGGACAACAAAGGAGCGACTCTGGGGAAGAGATGAAACAACGTTAAAGGAAATAGTGCTATTTGCTTGAATGTCCTTAGGGTGTTGCTTTTACGTCCAGCTCCTCACAATAAACTATAGAAGGATTGCTACTCCTGCCTTTTTTAACCGTATTGTTTGGTAGTTGGACATTTGGAAAGGTTGTGTAAAGGGGTGTATACAGATAGAATAGAATTTTAAGATAAAATCAAACAAACAATTCCAGTACGTAGAAAATTTAATTTGAAATAACTTAAAATAGTTCATCAAGAAATTTTAATTCAGTGACTTGGCACCAGATGCTTAAGAATATGTTTGAGTTTGATCTCAAATCAGTTCAGGTAAACAGACATAACCAAAAATTTATATATATGTGTGTGTGTGTGTGTATATATATATATATATATGCACGCACACACATATATATATACATGCATGTATGTATGTCTATACATACATGCATGTATACATATATTCAAGTTACATATGTATGTATCCAAGAGTTATATATTCAAGATATATAGATTCAAGACATATATAGATTCAAGATATATAGGAATTCAAGATATATATAGATTCAGGATATATATAAATCTACCCTCACTCAGAGATGGAATTCTCTAGTTTTACTCATGGCACATATTTCTGAAAAATTACTCCCCAAAGGGGTACATTAATCATTTATGGAACAGATCTCTACTCTTCCTCTTTTAACCACTGTAGTCTTCTTTAAGGTTGTTAATTCAGATATGGAGTGAAACTCAGTTTTGTTGAATCAGAGATGATTCTGAACTGCAAGAAACCCGAGTATGCACTTGGGCCTGTCTTCAGGTAGACAGATGAACTAAAGCCAGCAAGAGAGATGGACTGTTTGTTCTTTGCCTCAAAGGTTGTATTTGTCACCTACTGGGGTATAAACATCTATTTCACGTTTACACATGACTTTCTTAAAATAATCTTTAAAGTTAAAGTGACTTTCTTAAAATCATCTTTGCATCAGCTATAAACACTGTAAAGTAGCCACGTACGATTAAATTAGCTTGCTTCCAGTCTTTTTTTCTAGAAAAGCTTCCTCCCAAGTTAGTAGCAGTAGCAAGTATGGTGGAAGAGTGGTTCTCTATGTGATTGAGACTATTTGTAGCAATTAGGTCTTTTCAGCAAATCGTTTTGTAAAAGTTTCTTGGGACTGAGCACTTTGCTTTAGTGTGCACCCAAAGATTGTGTTCTCACAGGCCTGTGAACTTACTCAGGGGCTTCCAAAGTCCCCAGCACTTTCGCTTTTGGGTGGCCTTTTCAAATGTAATAATAATAATTAAAAAAAACCCTCCATGATCTACTAAAGGTACCAAGTTGTTAAAAATGGACAAATAATGTCAGTTTAGATCTTATCTTTGGGTTTACATACCAAAATGAAAGCATCAAGATCATAAAGAATACGAAAATTTTATTTTTATAGGCGACTTAACACAGAAAAAACATATTTCTGTTCTGTGTGTTTAAATATTTTAATTTCCTTAGCTTGTCTCTGCTGTGTGCACACAACTAGTAGATGCTTTTCTTTCTCTATTTTGGTTTGGCCAAGGATGCTTATAATATTTGAATTAGGAAGGGTTTTGTTTTCCTAAGTGGTGGAATCTATAGTTCATAATCTATGAAGAATTCTCTAGGTGAGTAAGAAAAATAGAAAAAATTAGGAAAATATGTAAACTCAAGTTATGAGGTATTTCAAGGATACAGTGCCCATGAAAATTCTCTTTCCCACTAATTGCAACTGCCAGATCTCTGGCTTTAGTCTTTCTATCTTTACATTTGGAGAAACACGGAAAAATTTGAGATAAAAGCCCTTTTGTTTGTGTGAGGGTTGCTGTAGTTCAGAACAGAGTCAGAAAAGGAAAGTAAGTAATAAAGCAATGTTTAAATGTACTTACATAAGAAAAAAAATGTCTTCAAAAAGTTCTTAAAAGGTTTTTTTCTTTTGAAGTCCTAAAAACACTCACTTTTATAGGGCACATGATTGTCTGTGTGACCACTCTTTCCAGAGGGAGTTTTTTGTTTTTAAATACTAGGAAAGTATGAGTTATTCAAATAAGATTTTCCATGCTATATTTAGTTTTACAGATGTGTTTAGTTCTAAAACTGTGGCTTACTGTGTTCTGGGGAGAGTATGTATATAAAAAAAATCCCAGGAAACCCTGACACCCAACTCAGAGGCAGTCAATTTTAGCACCCCGCCACGATCTCTCAATTCCCATAACTTACTGCTTCTGTTAACTAGAAATCCCTGAATTCTCTGTATCTAACTTTCTATGGCTAGAATCTGAGAGAATGACCCATTATCACTTCTTCTGAATAGCCAAGTTTTTTAAAGTGTATCAAAGTTTTATGATCTTTTTTTTCTGAGAGTTAAATAGATTGTTCCTCTAACATAACAAGAACCAGGAATTTTCAGCCAACAGATTTCATTCTGTATAATGCGTATACCAGAAACACACAGATCACACATGAATATGCTGTCAGTCAACACACAGAGCATTCACTCAAGGGGTAAACGAGGAATGAGCCAAACATACATACATGTGCAAATGTACAATTGACAGCAAATTATTTTAAGATCCTAATGTCCTTTGAGTATTAAAAATGAGCCAGGAGCCAGGTCCTGTGACAGCTGTATGAAAGCTCTCGATTGCAGTTTTCATGTCGAAGTAGCTTCATATCACATCTCTTGAGTTTCGGATTGCACAGCAAAGGACCATGCTGAATATCATGCCAAAGATCTGAAAAAGAAGGAACCACTTGTTAATGACTTTCGAATGATAAAAATTGATGAAAAGGTCAGCAAACTGCCTGGGTGTCTAACAAATAATTACAACCACTACTGGCTATAAATGGCAGTTTTATATATAATACTTATTTATGGCTGCAGGTTAAAGGCTTCCATATTAACATATCAACTATTTATTAGTTGTTTACACCTTGGTCTAAAGAGTTTTCTGTCATTGGAAAAGTTTTGAATTTTTGCAGCTTTGACCACATATGACAAAGTGAAGCGTCTCTTCATTCTTGGTCCATTTTAAGGTACAAATGATGCTTCACTATTTAACTCCACAGTTTCCCCAAAGCATAAACTGAGGTGTTGGAATTCTGATATTACTTCTACCTCTTGGATAATTCTGGGAAAAGCCAAACACTTGGCCAAACCAACAGCCACTGGTATGGTTTGAATAGAAAGATGCCAAAAGATCTTTCTTGTTCTCAGTCATTGCCCCTACAGTTTTGCAGAGCCTATGGAATGTTATCTGTGGGTGCAATGTTGATAAATGACTGTCAATGTTTGTTTCAAGAAATCCATACCATTCCCTCCTTGATCCTACCCTACATCGGACCAGAATCTATAAATGCTAAGTTTAAAAAGACACGTATTATCTGTTCTTTTGGAAGGGAAGGGGTAGGCTTAAGTAGGAGAAGAGCCAGCAGCAGGGCTCCAAGCTTCTCACTGATGGTACCAGCGCATGGCAGGGGAGACACCTAATGGACATCTGGTTAACTGATTACACTTAAAAAGAAAGGAATTTAAGAAGAAACTCCGGGGATGCTGATTCAAGACGACCAGTAGAAGGCGTTCCCCTTTGAGTGTGGTTGTGAAGGTTGGCTACAACCCCTGCTTCATCCTGGCTGTACTCTAAAGAACTTTTTCAGCCTTGTCCTGCCACTGTCACGAGTCAGGGGTGACTGCCTGTAGGATGCTCGCTCACTGAGACTGTAGAGTTGTTAGGAGCATCTATCTGATACCTCTGTGATGCAGTGCATTTTCAAGTCTTCTGCCTAAAAATTGTCCTCAGGAAGCCACAGAGTAGCAACCGGGCTAGCCCCAGTGCAGGCGAGGAGGGCCTGAGAGACAGCCCTGGACTGGGGGGTCCTCAGCATAGTGTTTCACCCACACGTCCCACCCCTCTGCGCTCGAAATACAGAAAAGAGGGCAGATGCCGGTGTGTCCTGGAAAACCGCCAATTCATTGATTTTCCTCATAATTCCCTTATGCTCATGCCATGAATTAATCTACATAGAGAGCCAGAGGGTAAGTACTGCCTTGGCATTAGCGAATATCACTCAACTCCTGGACAGTGGAAATCACCTCTTTACTGGACTGATTCCAACCTCATTTCCCTCCAACTTGTCTCCACCTGGCAACCACAGGCCCTTCTAACCCTCGGTGGCTTCCTTCTACCTTAAGGATGAAGCCCAGCCTTTCTAAAGGGCACACAGAGACCACAGTTGTGTGGACCCTCACACGCCCTTCAGTGTCATCTCTTGCTGCTCCTCTTACATCCTTCGGTCTCTCAATTCTTGCACACACATACTTTCGAGGCACTGAGCTGCCTGCAGGTGCTGGTTGCACTCGGCTTCACACTCTGCATGTGTTACTCCCTTTGCCTGGATTCTGGGCTTGGGAACCCTCAGACTATGTATAGAGGGAGCATCTATGAGTGTTATGTTCCAGACACTTTATAGGGGTTAATTTGGAAGAATACTTTAGGTTGGTACATTAAAATTCTCATTTCACAGATGAGGGAATTGAAGAATAGAGACATTAAGAAACTACCCCATGATCCCAGGGCTCACAGGTAGTGGAGCTAGGAGCTGAATCCAGACAGGGTGACGCCAGAGTTTACACTATTAATCACCACATCTGCAAATCATAAGTGAGAGGGATTAATGTGGTATGCTCTTATAAATTTCTAAGAGTAAGAAGAGACCAGAATTGAAAATCACTTGTCTAGTGTAAGTTTGGTGGCCTTAAAGCAGCAAGTTATTACAATGATAAACTCAAGGTCATAATTTGGTTAAAGTTAACATCTGTGTCGGGGTGCCTGGGTGGCTCAGTCGGTCGAGCGTCCGACTTCAGCTCAGGTCATGAACTCGCGGTGTGTCGGTTCGAGCCCCACATCAGGCTCTGTGCTGACAGCTCGGAGCCTGGAGCCTCCTTCGGATTCTGTGTCTCCCTCTCTCCCTGCCTCTCCCCTGCTCATGGTCTGTCTCTCTCTGTCTCTCAAAAATAAATAAATGTTAAAAAAAAAAAAACCTGTATCATATTTTAGAGAACTAAGTCTTGATATATCTAATAAGCTTTGTTCTTAGAAGATGTCCTGTCAACAGTGTCTGTCTTTTATGAGAAATCTCTCCTAAGGTATTGCCGTATCACACTGGAAGACAAACAACATACAAAGGCTTCTTAGAGTGCAAAAGAGGTAAGTTCTGGAACTTTCTCACCGTGAGACCTGCGATTCCAATGCCGACGATTCCGATGAGCTGGAGTTTAACGCTGATTATGGCCTCAATTTCATCAATGCAATTCTGTTTTGGGAAAAAAAAAAAAGGAATAACAAATGATTGTATCTGTGAATCATCACTCTGATCCAACCCTTTCCTTCTCTACAGAGCAGTTTTTCCATGTCAGCTTCTGCTCACATCCAAACCACTCCTCTTAGCATCATTCTGATAACCTTAAAGCAAAAATGTATATTAGGGAAAACATATAATCCTCTACTTTTGGTAAAATGTTCCTATTTAGGCCAATGGCTGCTTCAGAACCCTGAAACCTGGCTGGGGGAAGTGATTCTAGGACCTGAAGCATTTAAAAATTTGGGGCATCTTCTCACTTTCAGCATATAAAAATAAGTAAAATATCCCCCAGATAATAGCTCCTTGCTTTTTTTTTATTGCCATTAATAGTTTAAAAGACTTTCTACATACTTGGTCCAATTTACTATGCAAGGTAGGGATTACTTAGTAAGAGGCTTAAAAGACTGTACAGGTTTGAATTAAACAAAGGGAAACCAAATGTTAGCAGTTAGAGGACCAACTCTTTTCAATGATGGCTGGGCTGGGTGGGTCTCTATCCTTTCATCTGTGCCCACAGAGACTTGTGCAGGGCAGGTTAAAAGAAAGGGGGATAATTGGACAGGGAAAAGAACAGATCACTTATAATTAGTTTCTCCAGCTTCTCTCTGGAATCCTTTTAAGTACAGAGGTATGCTCTCTATTCAATTTTGTCTTTAGGCTGCCTAGGTCCTTTTATTTGTCACTGGTTAGTTCCCTCTAATACCCACATAAGCTATATGAAACCCTTACCACAATCTTCAGGTCTCCTATCATACCGTATTCATTCATCATTCATTCATTCAACAAACATTTCTTGAGCAATCTACCTTCATCAGTCAGTGTGGAGATGGTGTGGTAGATATGGAGATAATAAGACATGACTTCTTCTGCCCTTAGGGAGCTGGCAGTTTATTTAGTTTATTGATATATTTTATGAGAGAGGAAGAGAGCAAGCGAGCAGGGGAAGGGCAGAGAGGGAAAGAGAGAATCCCAAGCAGGCTCTGCAGTTTGAGTGCAGATTCGGGGCTCAAACTCATGAACTGTGAGATCATGCATGACCTGAGCCGAAATCAAGGGTCAGTCGTTTAATCAACTGGGCCACCCAGGTACCCCAGGGAGCTCACAGTTTAGAGAAGGATACAGGGGCGCCTGGGTGGCGCAGTCGGTTAAGCGTCCGACTTCAGCCAGGTCACGATCTCGCGGTCCGTGAGTTCGAGCCCCGCGTCAGGCTCTGGGCTGATGGCTCAGAGCCTGGAGCCTGTTTCCGATTCTGTGTCTCCCTCTCTCTCTGCCCCTCCCCCATTCATGCTCTGTCTCTCTCTGTCCCAAAAATAAATAAACGTTGAAAAAAAAAAAAAATAGAGAAGGATACAGACCCACAGAAAAAAATAATACACTATAATACACGACTGCACCTGTTGGAGAAAATTCCTCAACCTTCCCCTCCTTCACCTATAAAACTTACACGCTCCATTCAGTCAGTGCCAGGCACTGTTGTAGGCAGTGAGCACGCAGAGTGAACAAGGCAACACTGCTCTTATTTCTATCTCATCAAAGCCAAGTACGCATCTCTGTTGAAAGTTAATCCCTTTACTGGGGCCGGATCTCTTTCCCAGTCATCTCCTCAGGAAGCCTGTGCTGTCCCTTATCTTTCTTATTTTGCCTCTACTTCTCCATTGACGTGCCCACTCATCGTTATGACACCATGCCCGTGTTCCTCAGTCTAAAACAAAACAATCCCCTCCAAGACTGTCCTCCTCTAGCACTACCCATATTCCATCCTTGCTTTCAAAGCCAGCTTCTTTTTGGAAAAGTAACTTGTACTGGTTTACTTCCTTATAAAAGAAATAGGTGCTTCCTGTTGAAATTTGGGAAATACAGTAGTTCCCCCTTATCTGTGGTTTCGCTTTTGCAGTTGGTTACCCATGGTTCCATGGGTCTAGGAGCAGATGATCCTTCCCGTGACATACCATTAGGTCATTAGTAGACTAATGCTACATCACAACGTCTGTCATTCACCTCGTTTATCTCATCACATGGGTATTTTATCATCTCACGTCACAAGAACAAGGTAAGTACAGCACAGTAAGATGTTTTGAGTGAGAATGAGTCTAGTCACATAACTTTTATTACATTACATTATTATTGTTTTATTTTATTATTATTGTTAACGTCTTACTGTGCCTCATTTATAAATTAAACTTTATCACAGGTATGTATGATACCACATATATAGGGTTTATATAAAGACCCTTTATACAGGGTTTGGTGTTATTTGTGTTTCAGCCACCCACTGGGAGTCTTGCAACATATCCCCTGTGGGTAAGGGGGCAATACTGGAGATTAAAAAATAAAGAGAATAAGGCATACTTGTATTACTACACTAAAGATAATCATCAACACTGTGAGTATATTCCTTTTTTAAATATTTATTTTTTTAAGTAATCTCCACACCCAGCGTGGGGCTCAAACACATAACCCCAAGATCGAGTCGCATGCTCTACCCACAGAACCAGCTAGATGACTCAGGTGGTGTATTTTTAAACTCAAACACACACTTAGGTAATTCTTTATATACAACTATGTGCTTTTTAAACTTAACATTAGGACTTCAAAACTACTTTCATCAAAAATTCTTTGCAATAGTGGTTTTTAGTGGCTATAATTTATCATATGAGAGTACATAATTTAGACAGTCCCCTCTTGTTACACATTAATGGCCTATTCAGTATTTTGTTCTCATGACTAACACTGCAGTGATACCATACCTCTCTCCCTATCTCTGATTTATTTTCCTTAAAATAAATTGACGAGTGGAATTTCTGGATAAAGGGCATGGACATACTCAACTCATTAGTCTATTTAAATTTCTTTTTAAATTTAAGTTTTTATTTTAATTCCAATTGCTTAACATAGAGTGTTGTATTAGTTTTAGGTATACAATATAGTAATTCAACACTTCCATACATCACCTTGTGCTCATCACTACAAGTGCACTCTTTAATTCCTTTTACCTATTTCACCCATCCCCCCCACCCAC